GGTACCAGATGGGCGTCTTCTATCCCTTCTTCCGCGCTCACGCTCACCTCGACACCAAGCGCCGCGAGCCCTGGCTCTTTGGGTAGGTCCAAGTTTTGTCGAGTAGGGTAGACATGGTTATATCACATCGCATTGCATCGACACCGAACGCCTCCCCCCCCACGCCCTTACCCCACAACCCACCCCCATGCAGTGAGCCGTACACCTCGCACATCCGGGAGGCCGTGCGCACGCGCTACGCGCTCCTGCCCTACCTCTACACGCAGTTCCGCACCGCCTTCACTGCCGGCACGCCCCCATGCGCCCGCTGTGGTTCGAGTTCCCTGCGGACCCGCGGCTCTTCAGCCACCAGGACTCCTTCCTGCTCGGTCCGTCTGTCCTCGTGCACCCGGTTACTGTGGAGGTGAGCCAATGAAACTTTTTATTCCAGCAGCACTGCTCTCCTCCGACCTGCAGCTCTTCACCCACCAGGACTCTTTCCTGCTGGGGCCGTCCGTGCTCGCGCACCCTGTCACTGTGGAGGTGAGCGGGTTTCCTGCTTGTCTGTGAGAAGCCAGAGTTCCCGACCGACCCGCGGCTCTTCAGCCACCAGGACTCCTTCCTGCTGGGACCTTACATGCTAGCCCACCCTGTCACCGGGGAGGTGAGTCAGTGGAAGATTGCACCATTTTCTGCTTCTGAGTCGACTCAAAAACACCCCGCTTTTGAGTCGGCTCAAAACCACCCTGCTTCTGAGTCGACTCAAAACCGCCCTGCTTTTGAGTCGACTCAAAACCCCCTGCTTCTGAGTCGACCCAAAACCACCCTGCTTTTGAGTCGACCCAAAAGCACCCTGCTTTTGAGTCGATTCAAAACCACCCTGCTTTTGAGTCGACTCAAAACCACCCTGCTTTTGAGTCGACCCAAAACCACCCTGCTTTTGAGTCGACTCAAAAACCACCCTGCTTTTGAGTCGACCCAAAACCACCCTGCTTTTGGGTCGACGCAAAACCACCCTGCTTTTGAGTCCACCCAAAACCACTCTGTTTTTGAGTCGACTCAAAAACCACCCTGCTTTTGAGTCGACTCAAAACCACCCTGCTTTTGAGTCGACTCAAAACCACCCTGCTTTTGAGTCGACCCAAAACCACCCTGCTTTTGAGTCGACCCAAAACCACCCTGCTTTTGAGTCAACCCAAAACCACCCTGCTTTTGAGTCGACCCAAAACCACCCTGCTTTTGAGTCGACCAAAAAGCACCCTGCTTTTGAGTCGACCCAAAACCACCCTGCCTTTGAGTCGACTCAAAACCACCCTGCTTTTGAGTCGACCCAAAACCACCCTGCTTTTGAGTCGACCCAAAACCACCCTGCTTCTGAGTCGACCCAAAACCACCCTGCTTCTGAGTCGACCCAAAACCACCCTGCTTCTGAGTCGACTCAAAACCACCCTGCTTTTGAGTCGACCCAAAACCACCCTGCTTTTGAGTCGACCCAAAACCACCCTGCTTTTGAGTCGACCCAAAACCACCCTGCTTTTGAGTCGACCCAAAACCACCCTGCTTTTTAGTCGACCCAAAACCACCCTGCTTTTGAGTCGACCCAAAACCACCCTGCTTTTGAGTCGACCCAAAACCACCCTGCTTTTGAGTCGACTCAAAATCACCCTGTTACCGTGGAGGTGAGTCGGTTGCTGCTTACTCCATTCCCTATGATGATGTTGGGTCTCGTGAGCTCCACAGTTCCCCTCGGACGTGCGGCTCTTCGCCCACCAGGCCTCCTTCCTGCTGGGGCTGTCTGTCCTCGTACACCTTGTTCCAGTAGAGGTGACTCACTTGCCTTGGGCACCAGTCCCTACAGAGGGGTCGAGTGCCCCTCAGACCCGCTGCTGTTCGCCCCCCAGGAGTCCTTCCTTCTGGGGCGGTCCTTGCTTGTGCGCCCGGTCGCTGTGGAGGTGAGGCCACTAGCAGAGGGGAGTGTGGCGCTGTGAAAGGTGAGGTCGCCTCTGGAGAGGGGTAGGGTTTCCCCTTTGACCCGCTGCTATTAGCCACCAGGACTCATTCGTGCAGGGGCCCTCTGTGCTCGTGCACCCAGTCTCTGTGGAGGGGAGTTATGTTCCATCAAGTCCAGGTAAATCTGTTTAAAAACAATTATAGTTGTATGCATTCTTACCTCCCCTCTTCTCCTCTCTCCTCCCCTCTCCTCCCTCTCCTCCCCTCTCCTCCCTCTCCTCCCCTCTCCTCCCCTCTCCTCCCCTCTCCTCCCCTCTCCTCCCCTCTCCTCCCCTCTCCTCCCTCTCCTCCCCTCTCCTCCCTCTCCTCTCCTCCCCTCGCCTCTCCTCCCTCCCCTCTCCTCTCCTCCCCTCGCCTCTCCTCCCTCCCTCTCCTCCCCTCACCTTCCCTCCCCATCTTCCTTCCCACCACGCGCTCACTTGACACCCTGCAGGGCGCCACGTCGGTGAAAGTTTTGTTTCCGGGCAGCGAGTTCTGGTACGATCTGAAGACCGGGCAGCCGCACGCAAGTGGCGAGCGGGAGCTCCCAGTGGCTCTTGACACCATGCCGGTGTTTCAGCGCGCTGGCTCCATCGTTCCCAGGAAGGACCGTGCAAGGCGCTCCAGCACCCAGATGGAGAAGGACCCCTATACCCTGGTGAGTGAGAAGGTCAACTGCAAGTGGCAAGTCAGAAGGTCAAGTGCAAGTGGCAAGTCAGAAGGTCAAGTGCAAGTGGCAAGTCAGAAGGTCAACTGTAAGTGGCAAGTCAGAAGGTCAACTGCAAGTGGCAAGTCAGAAGGTCAACTGTAAGTGGCAAGTCAGAAGGTCAACTGCAAGTGGCAAGTCAGAAGGTCAACTGCAAGTGGCAAGTCAGAAGGTCAACTGCAAGTGGCAAGTCAGAAGGTCAACTGGAACTCTGGCAAGGGAGTAAGGTTTTTTTTTTTTTGCAAGTGACAAGGACCCCCACTCAGATGGAGAAGGACCCTTACGGCACCACTCGAACCCGCATTGAACAGGAGGACGTAGGCAGAGGGCGAAGTCATCGCCTGATAGTAGTTATGTTTTGAGACGTCTCAAGACTAAATTACTATCACACGGAACACGCAGGCAGAGGGCGAGGTCACTGCTTCAAGCGCCAGTATGCAGGCAGAAAGAGTGCCCATGCACAAGGGCTGGTCCTGCGCGCATGAGAAGGGGGCCTCCATCCAATGCCGCTTTCTGGAAGAACCGAATAGAATCTCCATCTGCATGCCCTCTTCCCATCAGGTCATTGCGCTCAACAGCACTATGGGAGCAGAGGGCGAGCTGTACATTGACGACGGCAAGTCCTACGCCTATGAGAAGGGTGCCTTCATCCACCGCCGCTTCCTCTTTTCAAACGGCGTCCTGCGCTCGCTCCCACACCCCGATGACGTGGCGGCGTCCCATTCGCTGGGAGCGCAGCGGCAGGCGTTTGAGACGCCGTGTGTGGTGGAGCGGGTGGTGGTGTTTGGGCTGCCAGCTGACAAGCTGGCGAGGAGCCGAGAGGCCGTGGTCGAAGGGACGGGTGTGCGGCTGGAGGTGAGTCAAAAGGTTTTTGTTTCTCGTGGATTCATCTCGAGTGTGTGGTGGAGCGGGTGGTGGTGTTTGGGCTGCCGGCAGACAAGCTAGCGAGGAGCCGAGAGGCCGTGGTGGAAGGCACGGGCTTGCGAGTGGATGTAAGGGCATAGATCGGGTTCGAGACGCTGTATGTGGTGGAGGGGTGGTGGTGTTTGGGCTGCCGGCTTACAAGCTGGCGAGGAGCCGAGAGACACTGGTGGAAGGCACAGGGATGCAGGTGGAGATGAGTGTATCAACGGTTTTGCTTCTCCTGGTCTGGATATGAGTTGTTGAGTGGTGGCGGTGTTTGGGCTGTCGGCTGACAAGTTGGCAAGGAGCCGAGAGGTAAGCCATGAGGATGCGAGTAGAGGTTAGTCTGAAGGGCATAGATATGGTTCGAGACGCTGTATGTGGTGGAGGGGGTGGTGGTGTTTGGTCTGTCGGCCGACCAGCTGGCGAGGAGCCAAGAGACAGTGGTGGAAGGGATGAGCGGTGAGAGCGATGAGGGTGTTTGTTCTGGTGGGGCATCAGCATGCCATGATGTTCGGGGTTTGGGGTTTGGAGTTTGGGTTTGGATTTTGGGGATCAAGATGCCGTGGGTGGAGCTGGTGCTGGTTGTTAAGCTGGCGAAGAGCCGAGAAGCGGTGAAGGCACAGGTGTGCAAGAGGTGAGTATGAAGGTCTCTGTTTCCCATGGCTTGGGTTTGATAATCACGTAACCCACCACCCCCCCCCCCTCTCTCCCTCCGTTCCCCATCCCCTTAGCCGTCTCGCTGCAGGAGGAGGTGGGCCCTGCATGGCTGCGCCCAGGAGTGCGTGCTGCTGATTTTCGTTGCAACTCAATAATGATCTCTCATCCCGTTTCCCATCTCCCATCCCCTTCCCGTCATGCTGCAGGAGGAGGTGGGCCCCGCATGGCTGCGCCCGGGAGTGCCCTCATCAGTCCTAGTGGTGCGGGCGCCACGTGTGCCCATCGCCTCTGATTGGTCCATCAAGATCTTCGACCCGTGATTGATTGATTGGCCCGTGAAGATCTTCTACCCCTAAGAAAGGTTTTGACCCGTGAGAAAGGTTTTTGGTGCTGAAGGGCTTTGGAAAGGTTTGGAAGGCTGTAGTAGGTGTTGGTTTGCATGTTATGCAGTAGGTTCAGAAGACTCTTCTTTTGACCCGCAACCAACTGTCCCTTCGTGTGTTGTGGCATCTCATGGTTTCGTATGGTTTGGTTTGGATTATTGTTCAGCAGGACATGCCTTCCACCTGTAGCTTCCTAACCAGCCGGCCTTGGTAATATCCTGTCCTACATCCCACAAGATTCAACCTTGGACCATTGCCACCCCACCACTATCCCATGACAAGGAAGCTTAGGATGGGCTCATTCATGGACTTGGTTTCATGATGAAATGTACCCCAGCTCGAGAGGTGCTGTGCAAGCGTTTGAGGGGCTCATTCATGGAACTGGTTCATTGCAAGTTTCTGCCATAAAAAGCTTTTCCTGCCACCATAAAAGGCTTTCATGAAGCAACGCAAGACACAAACAGTTCCCCATTGAT